GGCAGGGGATCTCCAGTTGAAAGCCAGCCTCAGCAACTTGGTGAGGCGCTAAGCAACTTAGCGAGACCCTGCCTCCAAATAAAATACAAAAAAGGGCTGGAGATGCAACTCAGTGGTTAAGTGCCCCTGAGTTCAATCCCCAGTACCAAAAAAAAAAAAAAAAAGAATTACACTTTGAGAGGACTCCATGACATTGTGAATGTCACCTGAGTTGTACACTTAAAACTGGTTAAAGGTGAATTTTGTTGTTGTTGTTGTTGTTTTTAGCCAAGAAAAACCATAAAAAATATTACACTTTGAGTACTGCTGTTCTAGAAAAGTTTACCAGTAGGAATGCTTCCTGGTGATTCAAAAATGATTTAAACAGGTGTAGGACACCGTGGCACACACCTGTCATCCTAGCACTGGGGAGCTTGAGGCAGGAGGATTGCAATTTCAAGGCAAGCCTCAGCATCTTAGTGAGACTCTGTCTCAAAATAAAAAATACAAAAGGCTGGGGATAAACGACCCCGGGTTCAATCCCCAGCACCGCATCCCCAAGATTAAGCAATATGATCCTTTATCTTAGCACATAAAAAGGAATCCCAAGCTCTGGAGTGAGGGCCTCTGGGGTGGGCCAACCCTGACATCACTCCATGCACGGGATTTTCTCCTCTCTCTGCTCTGCAAAAAGCTACTATGCTGCATGACTTCCTCCTGGTGAAGTGGCAGCTGTGTGGCAGGACCACAGGTCTCCTGCAGATGTGACAATACCCAGTGCAGCTAGCCCTTCAGCAGATGTCCCCTCTGATATCACCGAGTAGAAATGCACTCCAAGCTCACGCCCATCCCTGTCACTCACAAGGGGCCCTGGGTCCACTAGAGCTGGTTCAGACAGATCACGACTGAACTTGAACGGCGTAGAGAAGGGCAGATACCCCACTGACTGGGGTGCAGCTAGGGCAGGGAGATTCGTGGAAGTGCTATTAGCTAAGCAACAGGGATAAGCAAATAATCAATGACTTCGAGGCTCCTTTCTTTAGCAGATGGGAAACTAAATCCTCAGCCTGAGGCAAGCACCATGAGAAAACTGCCAGTCTAGAGGCAGCTGTCATGCCAACAGCTGTCAAGACCCCGTGCAGCTCCTGTGCCCGGCCCTGAGTTGCAGCAGCTGTTAATGAATGAATACTGTCATCCCCATTTTACAGATGAGGAAACTGAAGTTCAGTGCTGGGAAACAATTTGGAGCCCGTTAAAGACTCTTTTCTTCCCATAAAGCTGGCCTCAGAAAAGAATAGGAATATCAAGAAATGGTAGATTATATCAGCCATTTTATCCAGTAAATAGATTTCAGCAGATGGAGTCAGGTGGAGTTACATGTAAGCTCCGAACAGAAGGTTCTGGAATGGAATTCCATGTGTGGCCCTCCTCCTATGCAGACAGAAGCCAGCCTGTTAGAACAAATTCCGATGAGCTCATCTGATTTCCGGTTGAGGCGTCACCTGGGTAATGCTGGGCACACACCTGAAGATCACCGGGCTTTCCTGCCCGCTGGGGTGGGGAGGGGTTGAGTGCTGTGGGCTGGGAGCCTTGTCTGCTGCGGGGAGCGTGTGCCAGGCACATGTGGATGGGTGGGAAGGTACCTCCTGCAGGGCTGGTGAACAGCATTCAGGTGGTGAACTACATCAGAGGGACAATGACCCCAAGTGACCCACGATGAAGCTGGAATAGTGACTTCAAAAGCTGTCCACCTTACATGGCCAAAGGGACCGTGCAGATGTGACAAAGGTCGAAGTCCTTGACCTGTGGAGGGAAACCAGGATGACCCCAGTGGGTGCGTGGATCTTGAAAGCACAGCAGCGTTCCCACAGTGTTCAAAGCGGCCCTGCCACTGAAGAAGAGCCAGGGGGGTACTTCCCTTTCTACCTTTGAGGATGAAGCAGCTACACCCTGAGCCACCTAGGAGTCCGGAAAGGCCGGGTGGAGGGGGTGGTGGTGGCTCTTTTCTCTTGGATCCCTCAGCAAAGGATGCAGCAGCTCTGCCAACTCCTTGATCTCATTAAGTTGCCCAGGCTGGCCTTGAACTTGTGATCCTCCTGCCTCAGCTTCCTGAGCAGCTGGAATCACAGGCTGTGCCACCACACCCAGCTTGCCAATCTTTTCATTCTTAAAAAAAAAAATTACACAAGTAACAGTGAGCATTGTGAAGCTAAAACCCCAGAGAGAAATAAAAATGAAAATCACCCCTACTCCTGCTCCTGTGCCTAGCCACTCTTTTCAGCAAGTGCCGTCTTATACATTTTTCCTAGGATATTTACACTTATTGGAATCAGGACGCAATTCTGGTTAATATTGTCATCATCAAAACACAAAGCCAGCAGCCCAATGGCCAATCTTTGAGCCCAGTTGCGTCTGCCTCTCGGTTTTCTGGGAGGGCAGAGCCCAAAGAGTTAAGCTGGGTGGTGGATGTTGAAATGCTGAGAAAACCCACTGTAGGTAAACACATCTTGGCAATGCCACCTGCTAATTAAGTGAGGCTGTTGTGTGGCCTCCCGTGCTGTCACATTTCAGCTGATGGAGGGCCACTTTCATGTCATCACCTCCTTCCCCGGTTTTCTCCTCCCTTGCTGGACGATCAGGCACACAAGTCCAAGAGCAGCTTCCTGCAGCCGCCTAAGGGCCGTAGTCATTGGCCGGTCATGAAATATTAAACATTGCTGACCTCCTTAGATGGCACCCAGCTGGTCCACATTTGCAGGCCTCTTAAAAGAGTTTCAAGTTGAAGTTTGAAGAGTTGCAGGTTGCAGGACACAAACTCCTGAAACTCCTGGGAAAACAGACCGAAGAGGGGGGTCGTAAGCTTCGCCGACTGGGTGTTAGTCTTAGCTCTCTTGGTCTGTGCTGTGTGATCTGAAGAGAGCTGCTTCACCTCTCAGCGCCTCAGTGTTCTCATCTATAACAGGGGAGCAGGAACCCCTGCCTCCCATGTAGGAGGGAGGCTTAAACAAGGCAATGTGTCTAAAAGCATCCTGCACTTAGTAGGTCTTCAAGATATGCTCGTTCCTGTTTTTTCTTGCTTTCATCACATTTCCTTTTTTATTTTTGAGAAGTGGGGGGGGGAAGATTGCAAAGACGGAGACCTACTCACTTTTCCATTCTTGACACATGTTTATTTCCCATCATGCACCACACATTGGGGATACAGAAGGGACATGGTAATGGAGAGGGCCCAGGCTCTGGAACCAGAGGAGCTGGGTTCAAATCCTGACTCAGCGACCTTGCAGCTGCGGTTTCCCAGACAAGTAATGGCACCTCTCTGAGGCTCAGCTGAGGCTAAAATGGGTACAATAAAATATTTCACAGTATGTGTGCGAGGAACGAAGGAAAAGGTACTTGTAAAGATATATGAGCTTCAGGCTTCATCAGTATAATCTTTTTTTTTTTTAAAGAGAGAGGAGAGAGAGTGAGAGAGAGAATTTTTAAATATTTTTTATTTTTAGTTCTCGGCGGACACAACATCTTTGTTGGTATGTGGTGCTGAGGATCGAACCCGGGCCGCACGCATGCCAGACGAGCGCGCTACCGCTTGAGCCACATCCCCAGCCCTCATCAGTATAATCTTGAGGCGAAAAAGTTGAACTGGCTGTGTGGGGTGGTCAGAAGCCATGACCTGGGGCCTTCAGGCCCAGGCTGCTTGGGAATGGCCACCCCCTGGTACGCCAGTCAAGCCCAGGGCCCTTGAGTCTCCCTTGGGGGAGCTTTTCCTGTCTTTTAGGCAACTGTGTGGATGAGGAAACAGGCCCAGAGACACAAAATCAAGACGCAAAGCCAGGTCTCCCCGCACCCCATTCACATGAAGTCCCTACCCTGCTCCCCGGGGCCTGTGTTCCTTGCTGCACTGATCAGAGCGGGCAGCTGTCTCCCTCGTGCACTGGGGATACAACAGGTGAGAATGACCGTGAGCTTGGCCAAGGATCAGGGCCACCTTGGGGAGTCTCAAGCACAGAGCAGGTCAGCTCCTGAGGAAACCTTATAACTAAAGGGAGGTGGGATGGGGGCTCCTGATTGTAGGCTCGTAGGTCTGACCCTGTGAGTGCTCCATCTTTATTTACTCTCCCAAGAGCCACCCACAAAGCAGCACAATTGTTAACGCTATTCCAGAGACAAGGAAACTGAGGACGGAGAGGACGAGACCTGTCCAGGACCATGCAAGTAGCAAGGTGTGAGTTGAACATGAGCTTGAACATGAGCTACACCCCCAGCCCTACTTTCTATTGTTTTTAATGGAATAGCTGCTACCTAAAATAACTCATGTGAGTTATAAAACATAGGAAATATATGAGTAGAATGAACTAGAACGAAAGCTCCTGATCCAGTCTAAGACTACCATGGAAAGTAGTTACCAGTAACTTGTAACTTTTAAGTTGGCAGTTCTTCATCCCAGCTGCACACTGAATATCCCTGGGGAACTGGGAACAATACTGACACTCTCAGAAAGCCTGATTCGCTTCGCGTTTGGTCTGGGCATTTGGATTTTTAAAAAAAGGCAAGTGGATTTTTAGAAGCTCCCCCTGTGCAGCCATGTTTAGGGGCCCCTGTCAACCTTACTATTTTTCAGCACTGGGGATTGAATCCAGGGCTGCTCTACCACTGCCCTACACCCCTAACCCTCTGTATTTTTTGAGACAAGGGAGTCTACCTAACTGCTGAGGCTGGCCTTGAACTTGTGATCCTCCTGCCTCAGCCTCTCTGGCCACTGGGAGGTGCCCTAGCGTGCACCACCATACCTGACTTTGAGGACCGCTGCCATATTCTCCTCTTCTATCGTATAGCCTTGATTTCCGCACGCTCCTCTTCACCTTCGTCCCACCCACGTAACCACCACGCTGGGGTTCGTGTGGACTAACGAGGTTTGTTGCTGATCTCCCGCCCACCACAAGGGGGCGTCAGAAAAAAGAACACAGTCTTTTTTTTCTTCGCGCCTCCAAGATCGCGCGGAGGTGGCTTGGCCCTTGTGGCGTTCCGTTGCCCAGAACGTTACCCAGGCAACAAGCCGAAAAACGGCCGGCATTGCTGCAGCGCGGGCTGGAAGGGGAACCCTCGGAACTGGCCCGGCCTGGTCGGGGCATGTGGGAGCTTGGGACGGGTGACTCTTCGGAAACTTTGGGGCACAGGAGAACGTGAGTCGGGAGGCTGAGCTGGTCTGGGGGAGCCCGCTGTAGGCCGGGTCCCGCAGGACCCTCCGCAGGCGGCGCCGCGCGGGCAGGAACCCGGGCGGGGAATCGCGACGCGAGCCCCTGGCGCCTGGGGCCGGTCCTCTCTCTGCTGCTGGCGCGCTGGGTGTGACACTTTGTAACTGCTTTTGTTAGATGTGGGTGTTGGAAGCTGAGAGGGGGATGTGGTTTGTTAAGGGAAGCCGCCCGGCCTGGGGGCCTGGAGTCTGAAGCTGCTGACTCGGTGCAAAGGCTTCTCCACGGCGGCTTTACAGGACCGAGGACTGAGTGCATTAGACCTGCCCCCGTCTCAGGACAGGCCATACGTGGGTAGCAGCAGGCCACATTTAACCCACGGATGAAGATTATGTGCCCCTAGCACCTGGAGGACGATGCTCCCCAGACGTTCTCGTTCAAGCTCTGCACACCCTCTGCACGGGAGGCAGCTCTTGGCTCAGGAGGAATGGCGACTAGAGACTACCTTTTGCTTTCAAGGCTCCAGCATTGTTGCCAGGCAGCTTGATTTCCTCCATGCATCTGTTTCTTCAGGGTCCCACATAGTAGCCCGGGATGCTACACCTAGGCTTAGCTCTTCCTGGGCTCTACCAGAGCTAAGGCATGTTGGAACCAATAAGCAGTCTTTGGCAGTGGACCGAGCCTGTGCAGTTGGCTCATTCTCCTGCCATTGTTGTTCCCCATAGATGGCGCTCCCCACGCTGCCCTCCTACTGGTGCAGCCGAAGGCTTCTGGATCAGCAGGCAACTCGGCAACGACAGAGAGAACAAGAAGCCCGGCTTAGGCAGCAGTGGGACCAGAACAGCCATTATTTCCAGAAGTCTGACATTTATACCTCCAAACAGGCAGAATGGAGCTCCAAAGCTTCCTACCTGCGGAGGTAACGGTGCAGTAGATGGAGGTGAGGGGTGGCATTTATTGGTCAGGGGATGTGACCTTAAGGGCCAGGGGAGTGTGGTTTGATGGCATGTTTTCTTGAGATTTGCCTGACAGCATAGATGACCCATGTGGTATATTTTTTAAGCTGGAAATTGGGGAAAAAAATCAGCATTGAGGTAATGCATTTGCACTGGAAAAGATAAAATGATACAGAAGTGGACATATGGTAGAATCTGGAACTCTACCCACATCCCAGAGAGAAACATAGTCAACAGTCTGGTACATATCCTTCCATATTTTTCCCTTTTTGTGTTTAAGTACATACACAGATACAGCCCATTTTATAGAATAATCGTAAAAACATGGAGGTTAAAAGCCCAAGATTTAGAGTCAGACCTTGAAAAGCCTGGCTGTGTCATTGTTGCATGAATAAGCCTCAGTTTCCTCATCAGTTATTTTATTTAGTTATTTTGAGACAGGGTCTTACTAAGTTGCCCAGGCTGGCCTCAAACTTGGCTAGGATTGCAAGTGTGCTCCTCCACGCCTGGCTGATTATGACTAAAGTGAAGCCCAAACCAAACCTACTTCATAAGGACTCAAGTGATAAATAATGTAAAAACTCCCATGTGTATATTACCTGGCACATAATAATTGCTCAAAAAATTAGCTATTACTACTATCACGTGTGTATATACGTCCATTATGTTTTCTTTTTGCAAAAACAAGACTTTCCAGTATGCATCTTGTTCTGTGACCTGCTCTCTTCACCTTGGCTTAGAGCACCTTCCTGTGTCATTGTTGTGTGTGCCTCAGTTTCTCCTCCCACATGGTGGAGTAGAGCATGCCACCTGGGGCTATAGCACGATTGATGTTTCATGGGCCTCTTCTTACCCAGCATGCATGCCTACCAGCGAGAGAAGATGAAGGAGGAGAAGAGGAAGAGTCTGGAAGCACGTCGAGACAGACTCCGGCAGCTTATGCTGGAGGAACAGGACCTGCTGGTCAGGGAACTGGAAGAGCTGAGGCTGAGCATGAACTTGCGGGAACGAAGAATCCGGGAGCGGCATGGGAATCTGAAATCTGCTCAAGAAGAACAGAGGAAACTGGTAACTGTCATAGCTCTTAGGAGGCTGTGGAGGAGTAGGAGCATCCCCACCTATCAGTGTAGTGACATGGGGTCACTCACTCCTGGGAGCTCTGGTCTGATGAGATGCCGGTTACCTCCAGAGCCAGCCTGGAAGAGTGCCCCCTCCATTCTTGTGCAGGGAGCATTCCTCTCTTTGGCCCCTTAAAAGATGACAGCTGATTCCTCTTTCCTAATTCCAGTTCTGTGGTTCCACAAAGGTCTGGGACTGCTGTATTTTAACTTCCAAAGCAGTTGTGGAATGGTGAGCCCCAGTCTGCTCATAGCCTGCTGTGTATTTGGGACCTCCTAGAAAGAACCCATCTGTGGCATCAGATTTTGGCCCCCTTCATCACCACTGTAAGCGTCACTTGTCACAGCCATCCATTGTGCTTAGATGCCTGGCTCCCAGTGCTGTAGGTGCAGGTCGGGTGGATTTGAATGATGGGTGCGGTGACATCTCATAAGTGGGAGGACATCTTGGGCCTGAGCTGACTTCCATTGTGTATCATTCAGAATATGAGTGGATTGGAAAAGCGACATCAGACTTCCCCTTTTGTGTTTTCAGATTGCTGAACAACTTTTGTATGAACACTGGAAAAAGAACAACCCGAAACTCCGAGAGGTAATCCACTGATTTACCTGAGTAGATAAAATTATGAAGCCAGATTAAATTTTTTTTTTTTTTTTACCATGCATCTTGTTCTGGGTTGAAATGGGAGGGAATCTCCAGCTCCTGAAGAGCGTACCGGGTTGGAAACCTGGTGCACATCAGCAGTTCATTTGGTTGTTTTAATACGTGTTTATTCAACACTGCTGCATGGTCTGCTGCTTGGGGTGTGGTCCTTGCCCTTAAGGAGCTTGCTGGCCAGTGGGGGAGCCAGTGGGCAGCTTGTTCAGTGCAGGCTACAGGGAACTGGGCAGGTGATGGTGGGAGCCCCCTGTTCAGGGGTTGAGGAAGCATCCTAGAGGAGTTAGTATGGTGGAGGGGTCCTAACTCGACTGTATCAGTGTGAGAGAAGAACCTTCTAGTAGAGGTGACGGTGAGAGTCAGGCCTGAGTTGTGAGAACAGAGTAAGTCCAAGGGTTGCAAGAGGCTGGGACATCACATTAGAAGTGGGAGCCTCCAGGAGATGAGGCTGGTGAGGCAGACAGACTCAGACAGTCCCCGACAGTCCCCTGGAGGCCCTGGGGATACCCAGAGTGCTTTACCAGGGCCAGAGGAGGTGGTTGAGGCAGGCCAGAGGAGGGTGTTGAAGGGTCTGCTGCGTAGCCCAGCTGGGGGATGCTGAAAGCCTGAACTGGGATGACAGGAGACAGGTGGATGAATCTGCAGGACCTGGTGACAGGGAGAAAGGGTGGCATCTTGACTTGGTGGCATCATTCAGCAGAGACTGGGTGAAGGAAGTTGATCCCAGTGATGAGTGATATTTGTTTATGTTAACTTAATGGTTTTGAGCACATTTGGCACTATTACTTCATTTGTAGTCACACTTATGAGTTGCCGGTTGCTAAGGGATGGAGTTTCTAAGTGCTTTTGAGTGTCATGTGGTTAGCATTAACCTGTGGGAGGACCCCTCTTCATGCCGTCTGTCAGCTTAGTGGGTGAAGTCATGTACTCAGAAAAGTTATTGACAACATTCAGTTCATCACAGTATTCACAGTGTTGGTGGGAGAATTTAAACTTTAATAATTTCCAAATGAAAGGTTTTGGACAGAGTGTCACATTTCTTTTCTAATCCAGAAGATTCTCTAAGCCCATATCTCTTACTGACTTGTTGGACCTGCTTGTTGCATCATTTGATAGAGGGAGCACCTGTTTTCACAGTTATTACTTTGCAGAAGAAGTTTTGGGGACCAAGCTCATGGTGGGCTCCCAGGGTCTGCCCCATCCAGCTGTCTCTCAGAGCCTGGGGGCCTGGCACTTGAGGCCAGCCAGAGGTGGCTTTTGTATTTCTACTCAGTGTTTGTGGCTTGCTTCCTTCTCTGCCCCACTGACAAAGAGTTTCTGTTACTTTGTTTCAATGCTGGAGTTTGGTTTAGAAGCACCTGGTCCTTGGTTTTCTAATTGACCAGCTTTCAACCTATGTCAGAGCCCCCCACTTGCCCTTACCAAGCCACTCAGGCCTCATAGACAGAAGTCATGATCATGTTCCAGTGGGTGGCATGGAAGGTACCAAAAACTGTTCCCAGCAGTAGTATGTGTCACATAAGCCAACGAGGAAATTAATATTGTCCCCCTCTTATCCTCAGATTGAGTTGGACCTTCACAAGAAGCATGTGATAAACTCTTGGGAAACACAGAAAGAAGAAAAAAAACAGGTGTAGTATGTGACTCTGGAAATAGCCACGTGTGTGGTGGTTGAGAGTGTCTTTGTCTCTGGATTTTCTTCCTGTTTTATATTATTGACTTAGTGACGAGGTGCTGGCCAGGTGATCAGGGCTAATGGGTGGAAGGTGGCACGTGTGTCTTTAAGGGCATTTATTGTTGCTGGAGTTTGTTTTGATAAAATTCATATTATAAAGACCCAGGGGGCTACATGTCACAAGTGTTGGCCATCAGGTTAATGTGGCTTCTTGCAGGAGGAAGCCACCAAAGAGCAAGAGAACAGACGCTATGAAAATGAATACGAAATAGCTCGGAGGGAAGCAATGGAACGGCTGAGAGCCGAGGAGGAGCGGAGGCACCTGGAGGATAAGCTGCAGGCGGAGGCGCTGTGTCGGCAGATGGAGGAGCTGAAGCTGAAGGAGATGGAGGTGAGTGAGAAACGGGCCTAGGACACAGGTCCTCAGGTGGCTGGGCGGGGCGAATCCCGGCAGTGCAGCCTCAGGTGGTGTTCCTTTCCCATGTACTCCCACCCAGGTCCTCCGTGCTCTGAGGTCGTGTGCCTAGATTCTAGAACATTAGCCAACCAGAGATAATACTTGTTCTCCTAGATGCAGTAGCCGACTCTGGGAGTCTTAGAATGTGGGCTTCCCGTGTGCTAAGCAGACATGACTCAGTTGGATGAGGTAGCACATGGCTTTCCGCTGGTAGCTGGTCTTGGGTCTTGGGGGTCTCGGAGCCTGTCTTTTGAGAATATTGTGCTGAGAATTCTGAGGGGGCTGGATCTTCCCCTTCACATGTAGGGAGGCCCCATCTCCTTTGACCTTCTGTCCTCTTCCTTTTCCTTGCCTGAATGTTTTAATGCCTGGATACTTTGTGCCCACCACAAATTCCAGATGTGAGAATAGAGCCTGTGCAAGGTCCTCACCCCTGGCCTCACGCGGTTGCTGGTCAGGTGGGGAAGCAGCTGTTAAGGTACAATAAGTGTGGACAGCACAGGAATTTTAAGGGGCCAGAAAAGACCCTTGCAGGAAGTGACTCAGTGGAGATGGAACCAGTGGACAAGTTAAATTGAGAAAGGGGCTGAACCCCAGAGGTGGAGGGGATTGTGAGCCATGGGGGCAGGCCATGCTGTGTAGTTCCTGCCAAAAATGGAGAGGAGAAATCGCGGAAGATTTGCTTGCCATGATCTCATTGGCTTTACCCTTAAAACTGCAGGCAACCAAACTGAAGAAGGAGCAGGAGAATCTTCTGAAGCAACGGTGGGAACTAGAGAGGCTGGAGGAAGAGAGGAGGCAGATGGCAGCCTTCCGGCGGAAGGCAGAGTTGGGGTGCGTGTGGGGAACCCTGCTCTGGTCCAGGCAGGCAGCCTCTTACATCCACAGACTCACACTGGGGTCCCTGGAACCCATCCTTTCCATCCACTAGTGGATGTCGCCTGAGTGAGCAGTTGTCTCTTCCCCATTCTATTGTTTGCAAAGTACTGAAGGCAGCCCACGGTTTGTCATTTATAGGCGTTTTTTGAGACATCAATACAATGCACAGCTCAACCGACGCACCCAGCAGATCAAACAGGAACTGGTGAGTCTGAGTGGACGTCTTGGCATTTTTCCACCCTCTTTTGAAAAATATCTTCCATTGCTCAGTAGACACTTGCATTCTCTTAAGAATTTAAAATAAAAAGAGGGATGGGGAATGGGGAGATGTTGGTCAAAGGATACGTACTTCCTGTTTTGTTTTTTTTTTTTTCCTGCAGTACTGGGGAGTGATCCCAGCGGTGCTCTGCCACTGAGTGACAGCCCCAGTCCTTTTTATTTTTTTGAGACAGGGTCTTTTCTAGTCTGGTTTCAAATGTGATCCTTCTGCCTCAGCCTCCTTAGGATTAGGAGATTAGGAGCATTAGGGGCATATGCCAGCATGCCTGGCTCTAGTGACAGAATGAATCCAATGAACAGTTTGGGGATTATAGCTCAGAATACTGCTGCTGTGATTTGAAATCTGAGGGTGCAGCGCAGAGTTAGGGCATAGGTTTGACGTGCATGAGATCCAATGTTCAGTTCTTAGCATCACCTAGGAAAAAAATATTTGTCAAGAAAGTAGTGTTCTCACCACAGGAAAAGGTAACTGTGAGGTTATGTGTGTTAATAGCTTGGTTGTAGTAATTATTTAACATGTACATATGTATCAAAACATCAAATTATATTTCCAGGACTGGGCTTGGTGGCACATACCTGTAATCCCAGCTGCTCAGCAGGCTGAGGTAGGAGAATCACAAGTGTGAGGCCGGCCTCAACAACTTAATGAGACCCTGTCTCAAAATGGAAAGTTAAAAAGTGCTGAGGATGTGGCTCAGTGGTAAAGCGTGCCTGGTCAATTCTCAATACCAAAAAACCCCACAAAAATTATATTTCAGTGAAACTATTGTTTAAAACAACAACAACAAAAGAAAACCTAAACAGCACAAATTCCTCCTGTGCTGCCCCTCCCCCGGGATGGCCATTTGGTGCCTGTTTGTCTAGATACACATACCTATAAAGAGTTGGGTGCTTTTTTCTTTGGCTGTTTTTGAATACGATTGAGGTTGCATTCTTTAGCATACTCAGTAGTACATACATAACTTTAAAAAGAGCCACATATTTAGACTGAGCGTGGCTTTTTTATTGTAGCTGCTTAGTGGTTCCTTTTAGGTTCTTTACCGAGCCCGCAATGAGCAAGGGTCGGCCCAGCGTTCCATACCCTCCTGGCCTTCTCTGTCGGGGCAGCTTGTTGGGACTCAGAGTCACTCCTGTGCATGCTGCCTCCATGCAGGCCATGGGCCGCCTCTGGCTCTTCCCTCCTGCGTTGGACCTGCAGGAGCGGTGCGTGCACAGCCTTGGCATTCGTGTCACTGTACTCGATATTCTTAAAAGTGGAATTGCTGTCAAATTATGTTCTAAAAAGCTGTGCTGTCCCTATGTCCAAGGGCTTGTGGTGGCACAAGGTGGTAGAGAGGGGACTCTGCTTCTAGGCAGCAATTCCACTTCTGCGAACATGAACTGCAGTGACAGATGCGCAAAAAAACGCGTACACTGCTTCCTGCAGCTTCAGTGTGAGAGAGAAGACCCGAGAATGACCCGGTGCCCCTGGGCAGGGGATGGCCTATTGCACGGCTGGACCAGGGCACCACACTGTCTGAACTGCCCCTCCTGGTTACCCGTGATGTCTTCTGAAAACAGTCCAGCATCTTCCCTTCTCCGTCTTGAGAATGTGGAGTCTCCCTCTGCTACTGGCAGCTTTTGGGGCAGGGGTGGGGGAGGGGACGTGTCCCCGAGGGAGCGGAGCTCAGGGGGCTGCACCTGGGCTCTGGCCAGGCGCCCACTGCTGCACCTGCTTCCTCTAGGAGGCAGACAGGCGCATCCTGCAGGCCCTCCTGGAGAAGGAGGACGAGGCCCAGCGAATGCACCTGGCCAGGCGGGAGCAGGCCCTGGCTGACGTGGCCTGGATGAAGCAGGTCATTGAGGAGCAGCTGCAGCTCGAGAGGACGCGGGAGGCAGAGCTGCAGATGCTGTTGAGGTGAGAGATGGCAGCTGCCTGGGCTTATGTTCCTGCTCCCTGCTCTAGGACCTTGAAAAAAATATCCCTTAGATCATCAAAGGGCCACCTTTGGGGTGTGTGTGTGTGTGTGTGTGTGTGTGTGTGTGTGTGTGTGTGTATTAAACCGAGGGGTGCTCTACCACTGAGCTACACTCCCAGCCTTTCTTACTTTCTATTTATTTATTTATTTAGATTGTTAATAGGCCTTTATTTAATTTATATGTGGTGCTGAGAATCGAACCCAGTGCTTCACATGTGCCAGGCAAGTATACTACCGCAGAACCAGCCCCAGCCCCAGCCCCTTTTTATTTTGAGGTGGGCTTGTTAAATTGCCCAGGCTGGCCTCCAACTTGCAGTCCTCCTGCCTCTGCCTCCTGAACTGCTGGGATCACAGGTGTGTGCGTGTCATTGTGCCTGCCTCCACTTTCTTCTTTGAAGCATTAGTCCCTGTTAATTTGGCCTTTCCCTTGTGAACATGTTTCCCTGAAATTATTAGGATTTAAAGTAATGATGTGTTCATTTTAAATCTTAGAAATCTGAAAGGAAAAAATTGTTACAGATTATGGAAATGTTGAATGCTTTTTGAGTCTATAAAAATGGGCCTGAGACTTGTATGTGCATATGTATATATAATGCATCATATGTGATATACGTCAAACATCATACCTGTGTCATATATTCATACATACGTATGTGTATGTACACACCCACCTCTTTTTGAGATGAGGCCGTGCTGTGTTGCTTCAAACTACAGGGCTCAAGCAATCCTCTTATCTCAGCCCAAGTAGCTCAGGCTATGGGTGTGTACTACCACACCTGGCTTTGAAGCCTAAAAATTAAGCTAGTAAATTGAAATAACTTAATAATATGCAGCGTGCACTGAGCACTTCCTGGGTGCCAGACACTGTGCTGAGTGCTTTACAGCCCTCCTGTTCCTGGATCCTAACCTCCAGCTGAGTTGCAGGTGTGCGGGACATGGATACTAGAGGAGGTCATTTGTGGGAAGCCATCCGTGAAATACATGACGACCTTCTCAGAGCTTGGAAGCCAGGGAAGGAACTTTCCATGGTTCTCCTCCAGTAATAGATGGCCCAGTGCACTTGACCTTTTCCTTCGCTCTGCTAGAAAGTTCCTCATGTAGAACTGAGATGGGCATATCCCGTGAGGAACTGGACAGCTCACCTTCATCCTATTTTGGTGAAGAACATTCTATGGAAGGCCTTTGATGTTTCCTGATGTAAATAAAGCAGGCTTGGACTCCATCTTTGTCCAGAAGCTCCATCATGGTCAGCTTGCCCGCCCTGTCCCCTCTTTTGAAACTACTTTCTGTGTTTTGTGTTTTTTTCGCTGTTTATTTCTCTTAGCTTTTATTTCTCAGCCAGCCCATTCCACCTAGAGGAACCCTATTCCCACTGCCTACGTGGATGTGGGTGGGAGTCATTTGCCTGCACCAGGGTGAGCCAGCTGTGACCCCAGATGTAGGGTGACAGGGCTTGCTTGGGTACGGTGGTGTTCTCCCGTCTCCATGTCCTGGTGGTCTTGTTCATGTTAGATGGCTGCAGTGCAGGTCAGCACTAGAGCTTTCTGTACTTGGTGTGAAGCCTATGTCGTCCGCTTGTGTTTGCCCAGGGAGGAGGCCAAAGAGATGTGGGAGAAGAGAGAAGCAGAGTGGGCCCGGGAGCAGAGCGCGCGGGACAGGCTGATGACCGAGGTAATCCCAGCTGCGGGGGCTCGCCTGGCCACTGGTCCTGGCAGTGTCTGGAGTCGGCTGTCGTATAATGATCCTGCCGTGCGTTCTGGGCATAGTCTCTGGTTATTTTAAGTGGGCTTTAAAAAGCATTGTAAAAGTCATACAGGCTTATTAGAAATTCAGAAGTATAGAAAAACACAATTGAAAAGTCAGGGCAGAGCGCCCCGCCCCCACCCCCCAGCCACGGCCGCTTGGCTCCTTCCACTCTCCTGTTTCTGTGCAGGGCGTCTTGCCTGCATAGGTCATTTTTTTGTTTTGTTTTGTTTAATTGTTTTGTAAATACTGTGCTACTTGATTTCCAGTTTCGACTTACTAGTTCATCTGGTAAGTGTCATGTTGATGGTCACGAGGTTCACCCTGGTTGGCTTTCCTTTTCCCTCTGTGAACATTCTGTTGCTTTCTAACTTTGAGTCATGATAAGGAATGCTGTGTGGAGCACCTGTGGGAAGCTCTCCCTGCTGTGGGTGTTTTCCCTGGATGGGTCACCAGAAACCCACCAGAGAGCATGCATGGAAGGTACACCCATCATGGGTACTCTTCCTGCATCAAAGGTATTTTTCTTTTTTTAAGTCAATGAATTTTTCTTTAAAGAATTTCCCATTGTGGTTCCTTTGCTGTCCACCTCAAGGATGCCCCTTTTTTTTAATTGTTGGTGGACCTTTATTTAATTTTTTAATTTATATGCAGTGTTGAGAATTGAACCCAGGGCCTTGAACATGCTAGGCAAGTGCTCTACCGCTCAGCCCCAGCCCCAGCCCCAGCCCCAGCCCCAGGATGCCCTTTTAAAAGAACTGATGCTTAATCCAGTTGTCCCATCAGCCCGCCATTCTTTTTTGGAGGTTGGCTTCTGTTTGAACTTCAATCGTGGACATACTGAGAGGCTCTCCCACTTCTCCCTCCAGGATATTTGGGATCTGATTTCTTCAAGTCATCGACTTTAGGATCTCTTTTGGGGTGAAGGGATCTACCTGGTTCTCAATTGCTGACCCTCTAGACATCAGTGTTCACATCATCCTAATCGCTGTCATCACCCTCAGGCAGTACAGATGTGGATATGCCAATACCTAGATAAAAAAAATAGAGGTCTCTCTTACTTTCCATAAATTGCCTAGTAGTTCCTTCCCATTGACCCAACAGATAGTCCTGGGAGTAAAGCTAAACCACAGAGGAAAACACTTGAAAGTGGTTCAGAATGCAAGGTCGCACCTTGTGCCTGCAGTATGCCACATTTTTAATCCCTGGGAAATTGGGTCATGGTTGGTGATTTTTCATTTGTGAGTACTAAATATTCCCCAGTGGCTCTGATTTTCTCCATTTAAATTCTCCTCTTGGTTGTGGCCACTTCATGTGTCCTTGCAGAGAGTAGAGCTGGTGTGTGTGTGTGTGTGTGTGTGTGTGTGTGTGGTGGCGGCTTCCTGGTCACTGAGTCTCGGCTGTGGCCTGGGCCTGTGGTGGGACGTGACGTTGCTCTGGGGCCCAGTCTCCTACACAGCAGTCCTCTGATTTCTGCTTCGTGGAGAAGTCGATTTGAATCCAAGCTTAGGCTGACCAGGTTGTCCCTAGTCATCTGTGTGGCTTCTTTCTTTCTTTATTTCAGAGCCCAGAAAACGCCTGTTACTGTTCGCTTTCCCTGGTCTGGGGAATGGGCTCTAGTCAAACTCTTTGGCATGTCTCTGGCACCGAGCCTGCATCTGGGTGTGAGGAGAGGGTGGGAAATGCCCTTGTACCTGGCAAACATGGCCAGCACTGGTCTGGCTGGACCCATGGCTGGGCCTGAGTCCTCCATCTGGGTTAAGGTGGGGTCTGAGGATTAGGCTGGGTCTTGAGGCAGCCGCAGCCTGTCTGGGGCTTGTAGGACGACAGGTGTCATGAGATTCAAATCCTCCTCTTCCTCTCCTGAGGATAGGTTCTGATGGGGAGGCAACAACAGATACAAGAAAAGATTGAACAGAACCGACGGGCCCAAGAGGAATCCCTCAGACACAGGGAGCAACTCATTCAGAATCTCGAGGAGGCAAGAGAGTCGGCCCGCCGAGCGAGAGAGGAGAGTGAAGAACTGAAGTCAGCCAGGAAGCAGGAGTTGGAGGCCCAGGTGGGGCTGACGTTGAGGGCAGTAGCATCTCTGCCAGGAGCCTGAGGCAGCAGGCCCTTCCCGGGTTCTGCATCCATGGGACAGAATCTAGAGACCCTTGGCTTGGTCCGTTGCCCGCCCACTCTGGCTGTTGAGTTCCAACAGAAGCCTGGTGGGCTGGGGTTCACTCCTGCAGGTCCCTCAACTCTGGTGGGGACCAGGTGACATCCGTGTTTCTTTGTGCTGTCTTCATCTGGAAGCAGCTGGCTTATTGGACTACAGGTCTCTCTTTGGTACCTGATGTCTAACCCAGAACATTCTCCTACACACATAGCCTGTCCAGAACTTTTTACCATGTCCATAGCCCCACACAGATGGCTTTTTCCATCCCCTGAGTCCCATTCCCTTTTCCTGGCATTTGCCATCATTATTCCTTAGCTTTGACCCGCAGCCCGGGTAGGACCACAGGCTTTCTCTCCCAGGGCTCTCACCCATGGGCCTTTTCTCCGGTGACTTTGTTCTTGGTGCCCAGGTGGCAGAGCGCCAGCTGCGGGCATGGGAAGAGGACCAGCAGGCGGAGGAGGAAGAGGCGGAGACCAGGCAGGCAGAGCAGCTCTCTGATGCTCTGTTGCAGCAGGAGGCGAAGATCATGGCCGAGCAGGGCTACCGGCCCAAGGTAGGAGCCTGCCAGGTGTGGACCACTGAGCCCTGTGCTTGCCCTGTCCTCTCTGTCCCCGGTCTTCCCTGGTCCTCCTCCCTGATCTCTTTCCTGACTGGTCAGCGTCTGATGGTCTCTTCCTTGGTTGGGTCCAGCAGTCCTTTAGGTGATTTTTCTATGGTTCCTGCTGCTGCATCCCAAAGACAGGGTCTGGACTGGGAGCTGTGTGCCTGTCCACCCTGTTTGGGGACAAAACATAGTCTAAAGAGCTGTGGCCACAGCTGGTGAGAGGAGACAGTGGGGCCCAGTTGCACCTGCTCAGTAGCCAGGTGACCAGGAGACCCCCTGTTGGCCTCTTCCCTCTGGCTGATCCTCTCTTCCCCTCCCTCCTATCTCTTGCTACACTTGAGTGACCCCTATGGACAGCACCTGCTTTGTGGGAGCTGACTAAGGGAGGGCACTGCCTGCCTTTCCTGGGGCTGCCCAGGCCTCTGGTACTCTAAGGGGCACCCCCGCGGACACCTGCTGCAAAGAAAGAGGACTGTCTGCTTCATGGTCAGATAGAACTGAGCGCGACAGAGTTGGCGCAGGCCCTCATCTACAAAGGGCTTGGAGGCAGGGGTGGGCAAGGATCGGGAGGAGGACCAGGGTTTCACAGAGCACAGGAATGGCAGCTTCTAGAGGGCCTTCTTTAAGGGCTCAGGTCAGAGCTCTTTTAGCTGTAACAAGTAAAAACCAGCTCTAATTGAAATGAGGCTACTTCCCATCTTCCAGAGACTGCTGATCTGATGGTCTCCTGCCTGCTTTCTTCCCTCAGGCCTACGGACATCCCAGAATTGCTTGGGACTAACTTTGCTGGTACTGTAGGCACAGAGAAGAATGGTGCTGAGTTCTTTGACCCGCAGCTGCCAGACAGTTCTACAGTGTTTGGCTCTGCTCAGGTTCAAGGCAACACCGGGAGTTGCTCTGCATGCTCAGGTGTGTGGTCAAGGGCAATTGAAGGGCCTGGCGTTCCCCAGCGTGGATGTGCAGAACCCTGGTGTGATGCCCTCTCCTGCCTTTCTCATCCAAGAGCCTCTCACAGCTCCCGTTCACGGTACTCTTGTAAAGTATTCATAAATAACTCAATACTGAGAGGTACAAGTCGTATTTCATAACAGGATATGTGGTTTCTCCTCCCCCCGTGTCAACTCCAGAGAAGACTAGCCAGGGCATTGCACATGCTAGGCAAGCACTCTGCCACGGGCCAAATCCCCAACCCCATACTTTACAGTTGTCATTTAAATTTAACTGTTGTATTGAAAACAAACTTACAGGTCTTGGTGCAGTTTATTTCAAGGTTTATGAATTTAGTAGCCTGAAAGGAGCACATTTTTTATATTTGGGAAGCAAAGAACTAGGAATAATTAGGACCTTCCAACAGTCTGACGGTCTCTGAATACTTCTGGAAAGGTGGTGAGAAATGAGTCTTCCTCCTCCAGGAAGTGTTTTGGGAGAATTTCTGCAGAGTGTGTATGCAGGGCAGTGATCACAGCATGTGTTGCTGACCCTGCAAAAGAACCCCAAACGGTCCCCTGGCTGACTGGTCTTTAAAGGCAGGGCCCTGACCCTCAGGGCCTCTAGTGTCTGGGGAAGGTCTCCGTTTCACGTAGCCACCTGGGATTTTTGTGCCCAGAGAAAGGGGCTGAACCTGAAGAAACCAGATGGACTCAGACCACAGACCCGGCCCCCTCTTCTCCCACTGTTGTGTCAGTGTGACATAGTCCCAGATTTCTCTCTACAATAGCTACAGTTCCTTGTAGTAATGATCATATTTTTATGACTGGTATTTTTTCCATTCTCTTCCTCTGAGAAGTCATTTTCATGACATTGTATTCAAGGTTCCACGGCTCAGGAAATGACAGCTAATTATTGGCTATTTTTCTATGGTTATTAAAAACCAGAGTTTCGTAAAATATTTCTGAGTCTCAGGTCACATTTCCTCTCCCTTCCATTATGTTGTGAAAACAAATTGAGCTGCAGACTGCATCCTGAACCTGATGTTCGTCCTGTGTCCTGTGTTCTCCAGGAGTGGCCCCCGAGCCCCGCTCGTGTCCTGCTTGCTCATCTTTATCCCCCAGATGTTCATTAATTGTGACATAAAGCCCTGCTTGACAGTGCCACTCCAGGCTTTGTCCCTGTTGCTCTTATTTATCACTGCACAGTGCGTTGCTCATGGCTCTTTACAGATCTAACCCACCTCTCCCACAGGTCTGGATGTTTTCTGTGACTGATCATTTATTGGTCATATTCATTTTTCTTGTCACAGGACCGTGTTCTCCCTTTAAGTTTCCTTGGGAACTGCAGAAAGTTATTAGCAATCATATGCCGAGTTCCCATAGAGACCTGATCTGGACAGAATTTCTGGTAAATAGGTCTTCAGATTTTTACTGAACAAATCTTTCATTATTTTTGAAGCCTGGCGGTCGTCTTCCTCATTTTAATTACAATTCTGTCACATTGGCTCTTCCTAATATATTTAAATACTTCTTTACTAAACTAGACTAAAATACCTATTTTGTAAATCTGGACTTTCCACCGTCTTGCTGTCCCTGTCATCTCCTGCACCTCTTACTGCATATGGTTAGGGTTGTGACTGTAGCTGTGCATACTCAGATACCAACCGGTGACAGGGACGCCTGTGAGGAAAGTGTCATGCAGTCTCATCGCTGGCCAATGGTACTCACCTAAACTAGTTGGCCACCCACCGAGGCTCTGCCGCCTTGCCTTGGGTGTGCAGTCGCCGCTGACCCACACCTCAGTTATGTGGTGCGTGACTGTATATTGGTTTTATTGTTTTAAAGTACCTTTTTTTCCTAATTAAAATTAATGATTTCTAGGGCTGAGAATGTAGCTCAGTGGTCGAGCACTTACCTAGCATTCTCGAGGCCTCGGCTTTGGTCCCCAGCACTGCAAGATAGAAAGAAATAAAGACTTCTAGGTTATTCTTCAGATTCTGCTAAAGGTCGATTCCTTCTATACAGGACGGCGCTGAAGCCATTAGTGACATGAAGTGATTCTTGCAGCTCTCTAGAAATGGCGGCCTTTCTCTCTGCTCCTCATTCAGCACACATTCTCTCTAGGGATGGTTAATGCTGGGTCTGGGCAAGGGACAAAGCTGAATAAGAACACTGATACTGAAATGGGACATGGATGAGCAGACACGACTGGCAGGCACAGAGCCAGTTGTAACTCCTGGGGTTGAGAAGGCCGTTTGTGCAATAAGTACATGCGGCACTAGCAGATTCTCAATGGATACAATAAATTTTTATCACCTGGATTTTTTTAGGTAGTTGTCAGTGAAATCGACCTTTAGCAGAATCTGAAGAATAACCTAAAAGTCTTTATTCTTTATCTATTTATTTATACGGCATTTTGGGACTGGGGGTATAGCTCAGTTGGTAGAGCGCTTGTCTCACATCGCACAAGGCCCTGGGTTCAATCCCCAGCACCACCATAAAAAAAAAGTAAGAAAAATATATGGCATCTTTTTTTTCTTTTTTTTTTTTTTTTTTAAGCGAGTGCTGGGGGTTGAACATAGGGCCTCGCACATGCTAAGCATGTGCCCTACCACAGCGCTAGGCTTCAGCCCAGGGCATCACCTTAAAACCGTGTGACACCTGTGAAACCATGGCGTTACGCTTCCCAGTGGTCTTGACCGACTCGGCCATGAAGCCATGTGGAGTTGTGACTGCAGTGTCTTCCTTCTAGAGAGGCATTCACTTTATGACCTAATGTTGTGATCACCCCAAAACACTGTACCTACTTCAGAGGATGGATGCATGTGATTTTTTTTTAAACATGTAGCTGTGGTTTCTATATTTTCACTCCTATATGTAGTTGATTGTGTAAATTTTCTTTATTCTCATTTGTTTGACTTTGTTTTTTTCCTATTAAAAACGTTTCTAAGCCGGGTGCAGTGGCACATGTTTGTAATCCCAACAGCTCAGGAAGCTGAGGCAGGAGGATTCTGAGTTCATAGCCAGCCTCAACAACTCAGGGAGACCTCGTCTCTAAATAAAATACAAAAACAGGTTGGGGATGTGGCTCAGTGGTTAAGCGCCCCTGGGTTCAATCCCCAGTACTATCCCCCCAGGCCCCCCCCCCAAAAAAAAACCTTTTTCTAAACCTCTGCACATAACTTCTAGTGCCAGGTGATCTTGAAGCTGGGAGTGGACCTCTTTCAGCATCATCGCCTTTCTGCAAGTGACGAAGAGTCTTGGTTCAGGACTCGGACTGCCTTCTAGCTGCTTCGGTACCTTTTCCTCATCTTACTTTGCTTAGCCAAGCAGAAAGACTACAGCTCCTTTTTGTTTATTTTTCCCTAAACACCAGGCTTCCATTTCTGTACAGAAACATGCATGGAGGAGTGAGGTTGGTGAGAGATTGCCTGAGCGGTGTGGTACGGTGGACTGTGCCACTGACCTGTGGCTTCTGGAATAGACACTGCACCTGAGTGGCTGCCCCACCAACTTGGGTTTCTAGTTCATCCAGATGTTTCTTGATCCATCTGTTGCTGACACCAGTGGGGTCCTTTTTTTTTTAAAGGAGAGAGAGAGAGAGAGAGAATTTTTTAATATTTATTTTTTTAGTTTTCGGCAGACACAACATCTTTGTATGTGGTGCTGAGGATCGAACCCGGGCCGCACACATGCCAGGCGAGCGCACTACTGCTTGAGCCACATCCCCAGCCCAGTGTGGGGTCCTTTTGCAGTTTGAGCTTCTGCCATTTGTAACCCAAAGAGTGCCAGCCTTTAGCCCCAGGCCTCTCCGCCCCCCAGCCCCTTCCAGGTGAAGCAAGGTGGGCCCCCCTTCCAGGCCCCCTCCGAGTCAGTAACTCCTGCATCACCACCACACCGTGTGCTGCCCGCTGTGTCCTGGAGCCTCCACTCCCAGAACTCACCAAATGAGCCACACTCCCATCCCTAAGGCCCCAGGCAGGGCTCTTCTCCCAAGTATATTCTCAGAGAAGTAACTGGTGACACTGTCCTGCCAGCTGTACAAGCCATGGACCTACAGCCGAGTTCTGCTACTGACCTGGAGTCTGAGTCCATCTTTACCCCTCTTGTCACCACCTTTTGTGGCTTCTGCTGACTTCTGTTTACTCCATCTCTTCTTCATTCTGCAACCAGAGATCTTTTACAAAAGTATCTGGAATGAAAGTCATTCGCCGTCTTGAGCACCCTCCCATGATGCCTAGGGCCAGTACCGGGCCTACCCTGGCCTACACAGCCTGTAGTGCCTGGCTCTCTAGAAGGCTGCCTGGGACCAGGCCCGAGGAACAGGGAAAACACTGGGGCAAAGACCTTGCTCACTGCGTTGGTTTGGGTTGCAGACCCTGCTGACCTGGATGTCCAAGACAGGAGGCTTCTGGGTTTGGGATGTTATGCACACCATGAATTAGGATGGAGAGCTTCCAAACCCAAGTTCTGGAGACATTCCTGCTCAGCTAGGTTAAAAGGTGTTCAAAAGTAGTTATTTTCATAATTCCATTTTTAAGGAAATAGTGCTACCATGTGGTTATTTCCCCTTCACGTGTGTGTGTGTGTGTGTGTGTGTGTGTGTGTGTGTGTGTGTGTGTATTGTGGATCAACCTTTATTTATATGCTGAGAATTGAACCCAGTGCCTCACATGCTAGGCAAGTGCTCTAACACAGAGCCACAACCCCAGCCCACCAAGTGGTTTATTTCTAACAGTATAAATGGTAATTTTCATCTGGAATGCTTTTCTATATTTTTCTAGAGAACATCTATAGCTTTTGAACTCAAGGAAAATGATATTTTAAAAATAAAGTGGGGCCAGGGAGGTAGCTCAGTGGTAGAGCACTTGCCTAGTATGGGTAAGGTCCTGGGTTGTGGGTGGACACACACACACACACACACACACACACACACACACACACACAGGTGCTGAGGCCTGTAGTTGTACCAGTGTCAATGTCCTGATTCTGTTTTTGTGTTATAGTCAGGTGTGGCCATCGTGGGAATTTGAGGGAACAGGGTCCTATTATTTGAAAGTGAAAAAAGTGTAGGGAAGGTTTCTTGAGAAAGATTGGCAAATAGGACTATGTTATGAAGGCTTATCTTCAAGATACCTCAGAGGAAGAAAATTGACCTCAGAATAAGGATGTTTGTAACACAGAAATCTACCAGGGGATATGTTAATGTTCAGGACATTTAAAAAACTCGTACGAATAATCTTTTTCTTAAAAGAACCCAATAGAAGACTGAGTGTATACCCCAACAGGTACTTCACCAAAGAGGAAATCAAAAAGGCTAAATATATGGAAAAGCAGGTAACCGTATCATCTACCAGATAATGTAAATTAAAACTGCAGCAAGGGCCCCAGGGTACAGCGCTCTTCTGACTTGCACAAGGGCCCAGGTTCAGTCCCCAGCGAAACAAAACAATGCAGTGGGGTAGATCCCACTAGCAAGGCCACCGTTCAGCCCAATGAAGGTGGCCGTTACACCATTGCTGGGGAGCGTGTGGCGCATTGGGATTCTTCATGCTGCTGAACCAAGATTTTGAAAACCTGTAAAGACTGAGCTTTGGAGATGCACACCCTGACCCGGAGGCCCCCTCCTAGGTGTATACCCTACAGAGGTGTATTTCCACATGTACTGAGATACAGATGTCAAACAGTTTTACTCAAGAGTCAGAAATGCTCGTGTGTTCATTCAGTGGATACCTAGCAGCCTTGAGCATAAACCACACAGTGTCCCGACTGAATCTTAGGACATTGAGAGCAAAGAGAAGGCGTCCTGAGGGAACGGGCATGTTTCAAAAACAGGGGAAAGTATGCTTTTAAATTGGGGACACACGAGGTCTAGGGGAAGGAGGGCCCATGCCATCTTCTGTTTCCTTACCTGGTAGTCGGCACACAAATGGCCACTCTGTCATTCTGAAGACACGTCAAGACTTCCAGTAAGGGGTGTATGAACATGTGAGCCACAGAGAAGGTGGGGCAAAGGACCATCTGTGGGTTCCATCCAGAGGCCCAGGTGTAGCAGCCAAGTGACCGCTCTCTGGGCCCAGTCCCTCATCTGAATTGACAGCAGAGACTTGAGGGTGTGGGAAGATGAAGTGCAGGGAACACAGAGCTCAGAAGCCCTCACTATTCCCGCCAAGACAATGCCTCCCCGCAGGACGTGACCTGCCAGTGGTGGACTGGATCATGGCCCTGCTGCTGGACTTGGGCAGGACTTTCACTATCTCAATCAGAAGCAGGTCAGACTCATGCCTCTTTCTCCAGTTCTGGGTCAGAGGCTCCCTCTACTGAAGAGGGGCGCCTGTCCTGGAGGGAGCCCTCCTCTCCCCGCAGCAGGCACAGGGCTGCCCCCTCAGTCACTGAGCTGTGGAAATCTGTGAGGTCCTTATATCATTCCTGCCCTTGAACTGGGCAACCACCACAGAAAGATCAGGGCCTGGTTGAGCAATGGTTCCTGAATATCTTGGTTTAAAACAAATAGAAAAGATGAAAAATATTTGTAAAAAAATAGAAAAAACAGACCCAACAGGTCAGGGTGGGGCTGTGGGGCCGAGAGGGCAAGGTGTTGGAAGGGGTGAAGAGAGGGATTTTGGAGGAGGAAGAGGCACCAGGGTCCTTGGAGAGTAGCTGCACTGGAGAGAGAAATGGGGCTAAATGGTTTGGGACCTGGGCAGAGAGGGGGCACCTGGGCTGTGATGTGCCCAGCAGGGGCCTGGGGCAGAGACAGACGTTGTGGGTGGATGGAGGGTGAGCTGAGAGTCCATGCGGCCTCTGACCTCCAGTGGCTCTTCCTTCCAGACCTAGTTTGTCGTGTGACCTGTACATGTGAAGTGGATGGACGGCCTGTATCTGGGTGGCTCTGGCTTCCGGCCAAGAGGAGCCAAAGTCAGTTGGCAGCAGTGTGGACCCTCAAGAGTGTAGTTCACTAAGACTGGCTCCTGGATAGTCTCATGCACCTTGACTGCTGGGTAGCAAGCAGGTCCCTCCTCTGGTCACCAAATGTCTCTGGTGGGGTGGTGAGGTGGCTTGTGGTGTGGCCTGGGCACAGCCTCATGGATGCAGGAGATACTTCTGTCAGTGTCTTGAGCAGGTGGACAGAGGCCTTGGTCTGTCCTGCTAGTTGACCACTCCATACTGGAGAGGTCCAGGTGCCAGCAATTCAGGGGTGCAGCCTCCCGCTGGAGGGTCACAGGGATTTGGACTCAGGCTGACAGGGCCCCTTGTTGAGATGTGGCCTTAGCTGCCCACCTGCCTCCTCTAGGCTAGAGGGGAAGGGCCCTGAGGCTGCTGCAGGAATCCCCACCCCAGGAGGCCACATTCTCTGCCATTCCTTGGTTAAGGTAGTGACTTGGCAAAAAAAGAGAAAATAGGGACAGGCAGACACCGCCGGCTCCCCTGGGCTGTGGGCGATTCCCTCATCCATGGGGTGCAAGCCGGCTCTCCTCCTCCCAGGGCATGGCGAGGAAGCAGGTGGAGGTGACATCCTGAGTGGCAACCTGCAGTGGGTGCAGCTCAGACTGAAGTGCGTTAGGAAACCATGTTCAAGGCAGAGGCGGTCGGTGTGGTGGGGCCGGGAAGAGGCCCACCGAAGCCTCTTGGCCTCACAGGCCAGAAACACCTGTTCCCAGGCCCCTGCTGCTCTGGCTGGGAGGTGGGGCTAGCGACCTCCTCAGGAAGCCCTGCTCCAAGGGCCTCCTGGGTGGGAGCCTCCAGCCCCGTGGTTCAGGGACCTCCACAGCAACCATGCTCCACTTCTCCAGATTGCCTCCTTGGAAAACATCCCCAAGATGGTAGCCCTTACCCCACCCCTTTCTCCTGTCCAGAAAGAGTGTCTCAAGTCTCCTGTCCAGAGGACAACTGGCTGGCCCTGCGGAACCCAGGTGTAAGTCTCTGCCTGATGTAAGTTATAGCAGACCCGTGTGAACCTATGCGGGGCCTTCCTCTGAAAGTGAAAACTGACTGGTGGCCTCAAGAGATGAACTAATCCCTCTGCCTCATCACCTGTTGGGAAAAGGACAGGGTATCCATGCTGGGCTGGCTTTGGTGGACCTAAAAGTTAGAAATTTTAAGGAGAAAATACATCATGAAAGATTCCTGGAACTAGGATCTCCCTCCTACAGCACAGAGAGGTTTATTAGGAAAACAGATCCATATTGAGAGCACAATGCAGGCTATCCCCAGAGGGAGAGACAGCCTGGAACCAGGACCTTGATGCCTTAGACCTGGCTCCTCTGGAGGCTGAGGCGGGAGGACGATTTGAGCCCAGGAATTAGAGGCCAACCTGGGCACCGTAGCAAGACCCTATCTCAATAAAACAAACAACCCACCCCCACCCCAAAACAATAGAGCAAGGGAGAAACCAAGAAAATTGATGCAGGGTATCCTTTTCTTTTGTCGTACTGGGGATTGGATCCAGGGTCTCTCGATATTAAGCAAATGCAGTACCACTGAGCTATATCCCCAGCCCTTTTAATTTTGAGTCAGGGTCTTGCTAAGTCACCCAGGATGGCCTGGAACTTGTGATTCTCCTGCCTCACCCTCATGAGTTGCTGGGGTATAGGTGTGTGCCACTGTGCTTGGCTAGAATTTTTTTTTAAGAAAGCTATTTGCTAATAAGAACAAAGGAAGAAAAATCTGGTCATTATTGACACTGTCTTTAAAGACGGTGTTATGTGAGAACAACTCTCTCCACGCTTCTATGAATATTTGGAAATTCTATTTCTAACTGGCAGAAAGCACAGCGTGACCACAAGACATTTATAGATAAGCCTGTTTATTGCATAACTAGCAGGCACAAATCCCGAAACGATTTTACAACACGTGAAGGGTACAATAATTACAGGAATAGGATGTACAGTAAAAATGAGAAGTAAGCAGTCATGAGGGACACAGAGAAAACACATTTGAATAAAAGGCATCTCATTTTTTTCCTATGCAGCATTTTTCTTTTGTAAGAACAAAGGTCAGCTTCAACCAGAACAAGGAGGAAAACAAAATCCTACTATTGGGAAGCTCACAGGTGCTGTCGAGGGTAAAACCATGCTAGTTTCACTCTGAGTTCTGCGACTGAAGTCGCCTGGGGAACTGGGTAGCAGCTCCCAAGTTGTGCGCTTCTAGTTCCAATTTCATGAAATGCTGTATTTGATCTTTGGGCCCAATCCATTGTTCTTTGGCAAATATGAACTATCTGCATTCCCAGCTGGAAGATGATTTCAGTGCAAGGAGCGGGGCTTGGGGGTGGAGCTGCTTCCTCCTGCTTAGCACAAGTGCTTGTTCATAAAGTGCAACTCTGTCCTGTTGGCTTCAGGGAAGTGGGGTGCACAGGCGGGAGGGAGAGTTGAGAATAAGGGCAAAGAAACACTTCAGGATGCAGACATGACTTGTGAAAGGCTGTGGAATCCATGTGCAAAAAAAGGCCAGGACTAGTGCGCAGACAAGGTGCAGTTTGCCAACAGGAACAGAGAACTCTGGCGCTAGGAACAGAGGTCTTACACAAGGGAACCTCATGAGGAGGGCAACTTGGGGCTCTCCTACAGTGACTACTGCCTGTCACTGCACTTGGGAGCCTCTGTCCAGGGTCTGGCACTGGGGGTCACTGAGCCAGCTCTCCAGCTGGAAATACTTTGTTGGTCCCATAATCCTCGACTCTCTAGGGTATAAAGACAACTGCTGTAGGTCCCGAGTGTTCAAGGGAAGTCACCACTTCACTTCCTGCAGACGACTCTACGGAGACCTGTTCTCCCTGGGAGCCATAGGTACCAGCTCAGCAGGCCACTGGGTCTTTCCCAAGGACGATGGGAGCCTGGGAGCAGCAGGTATTTGCAAGTCCATGAAGCACACAGAGGGGATCAGCCAGCACTGGAGCTCAGACAGGAGGCCCCTTCTAGAAGGCATGTGCTGAGCATCCAGCACTCCTGTGGCACTTAGGGCTGTGCAGACAGTAAGCAAGAAGTCTTCAGGGACGTGAACCCTTTTCCTGTGCTGTTCACACTGCAGCGAACCAAAGGTGTCCACAGGCCATGATGTAGCAAACCCCAAAGCACCATAGTGACACTGCTTCCAGGACAGCATAGGTCAAGGGGTAAAAGTGTGGGAGTTGGTTCTGTGAAAACAGCCCCAGTCAGCATGCGAGGTGACTTGTACTTTAATCACTTGACTTCCTCAGGTATGATCACCATGGCACAGAACATATGGGTAAAAAGAGGGCAACATCAGAGGGTGGGACCGCCACCTTCTGGGTCAGGCTCAGAGGCCAGGGAAAGCCAGGAGCTCCTGTTTCAAGGTTATAGCCCCGGGTAGAGGCCGTAAGCCCGCAGCTCACCTGGGAGTAGCCGCCTGTGGATGTGTCTGGATTGGCTGTCAACATTTCTAATTGGAGAGTTGGCACCAAAAAAATCCAGATTTCTGGTGCCTCTTGTGGCACAAAAAAAGCTCTGGCCACACCAGGCCCACTTTTCTATTGGTGATGAGTATGGTGGGGGAGCAGCTGTCCCTGCCTGGGTGGCCAGGGGTCCTGCTGTCCCTCTTCAGGCCTCTGCTGTGCTCTGGCCCACTGCATTCACGGGTACTTCAGGTCGGTCACTGACGAGCCCCCCCCCCCCAGGAACTGCTGCCCAGAGCGGGCTCTTGAGCCGCAGCATGTTCTAGACTTCAGCAGCTCCTTTCCTAGGAGCACTCGAAGAAAGTCCTTTCCTTTTTTCTTTTTTTTGGTGGTGCTGGGGATAAAACCTGCATGTGCTCCGCCACTGGGCCCCGCCAGGAATTCTTGAGAGCTGGCGTCTAAGTGCCAGTGAGGTGAAGGGGGAGACGCTGACTTGGATGACGTTCACCTTACCTTAGAGGAGGTCCCGACAGAGGATGGGACGCGTGAAGCTGCTCATGTGAGGAAGCTGTCGGTGGGAAAGGAGAACCAAGGTGTGGATGAAAGGGACGTGCAGTGTCAGTTTGTGGCAGTGACATCTGAGTAGGTGGAACAAAGTTAGTTATGGCTTGTTAAACTGATGCTTGTCTTTGCCGCACGTTCTGAATGAGCCGTGTGGTTTGGGGTAAGGCAGAGTACTTGATGATGGGTGACAATGGGTAGTGCTCCTTCCTGAACATGGCCACATGGGACACGGTGTGGAAGGTGAATGCTTTATCTGACTGTAAGGAGACTTCAGAATAATGGTAAAATATAAACAGATAGAAAATAAAGACAAAAAATTAAATAACAGAACATTCAGACACAATAAAACAGACACAGGCAATTCCTTGTTCCCTCCTACACGAGGTTGTTAACACTAATTTAGAACATGGCAAAGTCCTTTCTCTACATACATGCTTGGAGATACCCCAAACTTAAGATACCCCAAACTTGAACTTGTTTTGCAGTTGGTTGGAAAATCCACTTATTGCACGATGCTTGATAGGGAAACAGGTGGTGTTCACTTTTTTTTTTTTTTAATTCAACTCTCTCAAGAAAATGTTTTACTAAAAAAAATCTCACTTATGATCTTACCTACAGGTAGGGAGCTTAAAGGGATTTTAACGAATTTTGAACAATGAAAGTACTTTTGGATGTGTATGATCATGATCTCACAGTCACCAACACAACGGGACATCAGAAACTAAACGGGCAAACAGGCACGAAATAAGGCAAGTGGGTTAAATTAATAGTTGAAAATTTGTTAGAAAACATGCAAAAATAATACTGAGTTTTCTTTTAAAAAGTTTTAAATCGTCATTAAATGTTTTTGTAAAAATCTGGAGTTCCATGTCTAAATTTGAATCGGACTTTTAAAAGTCTAGAAAAAAGAAAGGACAGCACTCCACTGTTCAGTTGTTGTTCTCTTTGGTGGTGATGGTGACCAGCTGCTTGGCGGCCTTGGCAATGTCGTAGGCACACTGGATGACCTGCTGCGTGACCAGCTGGACGTCCGTGGGTGAGCCCGAGTCCCCCGGGAGGGCCTTCTTGCACTCTGACTGGAGCCGGTAGGCGCTGGATGTCAGCAGGCGAAGGGAGGTTCTCACCATGTCAGATTTGGGTTTCTAAACAGAAAAACCACAGCCAGTCACCAGGGACTGCATGCTAGGCACCCACCAGCAAGGGACAAACAGGCCTGGAAAGCCCTCTGGCTGTTCCATCTGGCCAGAGGCCCATTGATTGGTTGTTCACTTCTTAACAGGGTTCTTTATTTTTTTTTTTTTCAATTTATTTTTAGTTGTAGTTGGACACAATATCTTTAATTAATTAATTTATTTTTATGTGGTGCTGAGGATTGAACCCAGGTCCCGCCCGTGCTAGGTGAGCGCTCTACTGCTGAGCCCCAGCCCCAGTCCTGCAACAGGGTACTATCTATAAACGCTATAAGCCCTGCAGCCCCTGGAGCAGAAGATGCAGAACTGCCTTGACTCCAGGCGTTAAGTGCACACAGGGTGATTTTAGTAGTGTGGGCTGTTCTGAGATTGTTTTAAAAATATTAACTTCTGCAGTGACAGATTCCAGATAAAATTTTATTCTGTTAATGGTCTGCCTTGACTTCTATATCCTTGTCTTATTGAAATCAATATTTATGTAGAATGAAAATAGTCCAAAACACAATGTGACTGCATATTTTAAAAATTCTACAGGTTACAAAATGGTTAATATGACATGAAGATCATAAAGAAATTTCTTGCAGTGCAATTAAAAGGATCTAGCTGGGCACTGGGGTGCACACTTGTCAACCCAGCGGGTCAGGAGGCTGAGGCAGGAGGATCGCGAGTTCAAATCCAGCCTCAGCAACTTAGCCAGGCCCCAAGCAACTCAGTGAGACCCTGTCTCTAAATAAACAATAATAGGGGCTGGGGATGTGGCTCAGTGGTTGAGTGCCCCTGAGTTCAATCCCTAGTACCAAAAAAACCAAAACCAAAACCAAAAAAACATCTAAAGCAAGTGAGTAGAAAGTGACTTACTTTGGGGAATAATGCTGCCATTTCTGTAACAGCTACATGTATCCTCTCTGAGCAGGGAATATAACTGCAAAATAGTGAAGAGGTTATTCAAAGACTGTCAAAATGATCTGGAGGCAGACAATTCTCAGGGACCAGAGAGGTTCCATGTACATTTCTTTGACAACACCGCCAAGCATCCTACACCAACAGAAGGCACAAGGTTATAAAGCGGGGTCTGGGTCCTCTGGTGAAAGTTCAGTCAATCTGTAAAAATAGTCTCTAATTGTGAAATGTGGCAACATATACTACTGGCCAGGAGAAGCCAGAAAATAGGATAAAAGCCATTTATACCTCAAGTTCATCCTTTACTCCTTGAATGTTTCCTTTCCCTTATTTCTAGAAAGAGAAACAAGGATTTCCACGCCCAAATCTACAAAGGTAAAAAATAAAGGACTGAGCCAAATTCCTTAAAGTTATAATCGGAGCTCCTACTTCAGTATCCAAGGCCATTTCATCAGTGGGCCCTTCTAAATCCCTTTCACTCAAATCCATCTGAATTGTTAGGGACACGTATCTTTCACTTTGGATAAAGAGAAAACACTGAGGTCTGCCTCATATACCATTCAGACACTCATCTACTTTGTCATGAAGTCACCATGTGCTCGTCTCTGATAAAATGCTATTACACTGTCAGCACTTTCTCGTATTTTGATGAGCTCTAAGAAAACAGCACACACCCCATCTGCCACCCTCACCCTTTCTTCCGTGCTGTCTGGCTGCCTGGCCTTCCAGGGCTAGAGACTCACTTGACATTCCCTGTCACCTTAGAGACTGGAATTTTATCACACCCACTTTTCGAATGAGAAAGCTGCACCCCAGAGAGGAAGACAGGTCCAGATCCCACAGAGGTCAGAGGAGGACTGAGCTCAAACCCGCTGGCCACAGATTCACATCAACCTTATGGCAAGACTCTTTCCAGCCGTGAACAGTAATCTGACTTCTTGTGATGAGAAAGGAAAGAGTTAAGACTGTTTTTACCTAGGATTCTTTTTTTTTTTTTTTTAGTACTCTGGCAAGCAACAGATGAGGCCAGTTTCGTATCTTAAAAAAAATGTTAAGTTTGCATTCTAAGGAGTGTACCACTGCAGTATGCACAAGGACAAATACAGCCGTGGTGGCTCAGCAGGCAAGCATGTGCTGAGCACGAACAAGGTCCTAGGTTTAACCCCAGCACGGAAGAAAAAAGAAGCAAAACAAAATTGATGAGGTTGAGTGACGGTTGTTAGATACGACACTGCCACCGAGCCTGGGCTTGTGTCTTTGAGAACTGATCCACAGCGCAGGAGTGATGCTGGGTATGAGAGAAGCACTTTTGGAGCAATGCTTAGTATGTTAAGAGACACTGCCACAGATGGGTGTGGCTGGCTGACAGAAGAACCCAGGGAACTGGCTTTTGAATAAAGATGATATAAGCAATCTCTGTTTCTCCTTTGTAAGACATTTAGTATCAAAACTATTTTAATTAAGACTGCCTACACCAGGCATGGTGGTGCATGCCTGTAATCCCAGCGGCTCGGGAGGCTGAGGCAGGAGGATCATGAGTTCAAAGCCAGCCTCAGCAACTTAGTGAGGCACTTAGCAACTCAGCAAGATCCTGTCTCTAAATAAAATATAAAAAAGGGCTGGGTATGTGGCTCAGTGGTTAAATGCCCCTGGGTTCAATATCAGGTATCCCTACCCCCCAGAAAAGAAAGATTATTTTAATTACGTCAAGAAAATGGTTTATATATCTAAACATGCCTTCAAATTGAAAATCCTGACTTTAATTTTTCTTTTTTTCCTGGTACTGGGGATTGAACCCTGGGGTTCTTTACCACTGAGCCACATCTCCAGTCCTTTTTTATTTTTAATTTTGAGACAGGGTTTCACCAAGTTTCTCAAGCCCTCACTAAGTTGCTGAAGCTGGCTTAACTTGCAATCCTCCTGCCTCAGTCTCCTGCATTGCTGGGATTACAGGCGTGCACCACCATGCCTGGTCTTCTATTTTTGAGAACAATTAGAACCATATATGATATACCAACAAACAAAAATGCCAATGAATAAGGAGTTAACTTGCAAATGTGAAGGGACAACAGCCTCCCTGGTCCTATGGGAAGAGCCATATCCACAGCAATCATTTCTGTCACTCAAGAATGTTCCCAATAATATCCCTGCAGCTGAGAACCACACCTAGAGTTTTATGCTTTGCCGGTTAGGGTTTCATTTTGAGAAACACAATTCACCCCTGGGACATCCTTGACAAGCCACACGCACAACAGGCAGGCACATATGAGTGAGGAGGTCGTCCTCCTGTGTCTGAGGGAGTTTATGTTCATAGTATCAGATTGGTATCTTTCAAAAAAATAGATAAAAGCTTCTGTACATGATCTGTTTGAATCCCCGGGTGCACAAACATGTGCATGTCAAAGAGAGAAGAGCTAAAGGGGAAGTGGGACTTGTAGGCCCAGGAGACAACACTAGGCAGCAGGAGGTCAGAGGCTGAGGGGAGCTTGCTGGGCCCAGAGAACCAGGAGAGAGCCTCAAAGTGGCTGCAAGGTCTACCTGAGATGAGGTGAGCAACAGACTGGCAAAAGGAGAAACCACCAAAAAAGGCTTAGGTTTCATTAGTACAGCGCCAGGCTGCAAACGGAAGCGTCTTGGATACAGGGGTAGCCAGAGACTTTAACAGAACACGCAACGGTTTATAAAGTATGAATTCTTTAGACCAATTCCAGTTTAAACCCAAAGCATAAGTTAATGATTAAAATCTCTGCATCATTCTCTCATGGTCTTAAAATAAAAAGAGATCAGATCCTGAAATGTGTTGAATGGATTTGTACATCTTAACAAAAAGAACCAAGCACCATATTGAAATCTCTGAAGCCAGAAACGGCCTCAGGGCAGATATTTATATTTTTGACAACTACTAAAGAAAACAATACGATGTAAGCACATTTTTAGTTAGAAATACCAGCACAGCACTTCTGAACTGGAGGAAACTAAAAGTGGAGAACACTGATAAATGGGGTTGGGGGACTGGGGAAGGAGTTGGTTTGTGTCATGATTACTTGAAACACTGTCAAGACTGTGCCGTGGGAGGCTGCAGGTCACTTCACTCTACAAGACAGGGTTACTCACTGCCAAGACTGTAGCCCCAGGCAAAGGGACTGTGTGCTTGTAACACGTGAAGTGCAAGCACCTGGGAAAGCAGGAAGCCACACAGCTCCGTGGCTTCTGCAAAAGGAAGCTGAGGAAAGACAGGTTCCTCTTTTTCTCAAGGAGCTTGCAGCAGCCCACCCAGAAAGGAAAGCTCTTATCTTTCAATAAACACACTGTTCTTTTCTTCTCCAGTGGGAAATAGTGCTACTGGAAGAAGTGTGAGCTGCATAAAAAAGAAAAAAGGCAGAGAAAGGGGAGGTAGCCCAGCAGTGTCAGGGGCACAGGGGAGGGTCACAGGTAGGCTGTGGTGAAGAAGAGGAAGAGGAGGAAGGATCGGTGCTGTTCCTCGAAGGGGTCAGGAGGACTTCTCTGCATCCTCAGCTCTGCTGACCTAATGCATGAGACTGTTCTTGAGATTGAAGAATTTCTGCTATTTTCTCAAACCTGGTGGGAAGCTGCTAAACAATGTTTTATGAGTGTGTCTGTCTAATCCCGCCTGCGGAGGGAAACTAGGACATTATGCAAAACAGTTCACAACCACCAGAATTCTCAGAGAACAAAAGGATCAGCTACTCAGTAGGAGCCAGTAATCTTACAAGCGTACATACACACACACACAGGAGAGCCAGGTAAGAGGTAAGAAATCAGGTCCCTCTCGGGACACTGCCGGCCTGGGTAACCTTGCCCCTAGTGGAGCAAGGGAGAGGCCAGAAGAATCAATGGAAGGTCTGGAGGCAGCTTCTTCTCCTCTGCATCAATAATCAGGACTGCTGCCCCAGTACACTGACTGCAGCTTTATTTCTGGAGGCATTTATTTTCAGAGAGTTTGATAATGTGTTGAAAAACAAGCAAACAAAAGACAAAACCCCCAAACCAAACCTACACTTTTTTGTTGAGTTTTCAACTACCTTAAAGTCACAAGGTAGAAGCAATTCCCTTTCAGGGCTCCCTGTGTCCCTCTTGTCCCTTTCGGAGCATGAACACACGTCCTCCCAGCACAGGACTCTAGCCCACTCACCTGTCATGTTTATTTTCCTGGGCTGCTCGCAGGAGCTCCTGTATGTTTTTGGTGATCTGTTCAGTCTTGCGGATAACATCCTCGGTGCTGGGGAGCGTGGGGCTTGGGGCCGTGTGGGACTCTGGTGGATCTGGCATTGAGCACTCGCCTGGCCACACCATACTCCTTTGCCTTCCCTTTCGGCTTGACCTGTGAACAGTGAGGATGTGGCTAAACAGGACAGGCGCATATTGGCTGCTTCAGTTTCCAGGAGCCGCCTCTTGTGTACCGGCTGAACACACAGGAGGCAGATTTTGTGGTTTCCTTCATCTGTTTGCAGAAACAGGGGAGGCTCCACTTCATCCTGTCAGCTCACCTAGAGGCCACTTCCTTCTGCCCTCAGACCGGAAGCCAGGACCCAGGCAGATGGGTGCAGAGGGAGAGGGAGGGAATACCTGGGGGGTGTGGCATTAGAATCCCTGCAGAGCCAACTCCTTAGATACTGTCAACTTAACATTGAAGTAAAGCATTGATTTTAAACACAGAGCAGATACCAGCTGGTAAAAACCCCTGTGGCAATAATGTGAATTAAAACCTGTAAACTGCGAGTCTGTGCCTGAGTATCTTAAGACCTACAGGTTTGAAAATAGGCACAAGGGATGCAGATGGCCAAGGCCTGCCAGTCGCTGGTCCTTGAGAGCCCACCCCCAGCACACTCTTCCCTCAGATGTACCCTGTGTCATCTGGCTCCGTGTCATTGGGAGTGTTGTCATAGTCACTCTCAGGTGTGCTGTTCTGCTTCTCCAGCCTGGAAGCCTACAGGAAAGAATAGGAGACCCCCATTAGTGCAGAACACAGGATACTTGGAGTCTACCTAGGGAATCAATTACCTGTGAGTCTATGTGGCCTTCACACCTACACCTCATTTGGGACAGGAGCCAACTCTTTACTGAAATTTAGTAAAAATGAACAGTGGATTCAGAAATGTTTTCTTTCTCCACAAACAGTTCCACAAACTAAGCTGACACAGATACGCAAGACTATCTCATTTAGTTTTCAAAGGAATATGAAATTCATAATATAATGGATGCAGTCAATAAGCAAACATGCCAGCATTTATACGACTGCAGACTTTCAGTGCTGGAAGTTACGGGCAGAAGATCTGATGGTTTCACACCAGAAGAGAAAATGAAGGGCCAAAAAGACGGCTGACCTACCCAAGGACATGGAGGCTCTTGAGAAACAGGACCAAGAGCCCAGGCCCCCATATCCTGCTACAGGAATTTCCAACCTTCCATGCCTGCACTCAGATAGCTGTTGCTGCTCTCCAAGAGTTGCCTTCAAAGATGGTTTTTATGAGCCACCTGAGAAAACTGGCATTATTAGTTTATACCCACATGTTGTTTGTGAACCAAAATGGATAACCCAGTTTGACATTTGTTTTTAAACCAATTTTGTTTCCAAAAGTATCTGCCCCTTAAAATTTAGAGATTTGGTGTAGTTGTAGAGATGAAAAAACGGAATGCAGATTTAAAGGAGGAGTCTTGGAAACGTTCTAAGAAAAAATGGCAGCACCACTAAATACAGTATACTCCAGGGTGACAAAATGTGAAGGGGACTAGACCACACACCTTAGAAGGGGTCTGTGTTAGTTCCAGGATGTTTATTGAAAGCTAATTTCCCTTTGAATGCTTTTCTTCATAACGTTTGAGGATTTCTTTATCTAACAGAAATTGATGTAAGCTATTCAAATCTTAAACTGATTACCTTACAAAATGCAAGTACGAGCTACTTCCAGCTATATACCCTGAGTTTCATTCAAGTTAATCAAAACATATGACTGAGAAATTTTATTGATGCTGCAATAAAATGTGACTGTATGCTTGAACACATGCAGACTTGTACCTTCATCCAAAGCATAGCTACTGGAGAGTAAGTTAAGCCAGGCACAGTAGTGCACGCTCATAATCTCAGCTATTCAGGAGGCCCAGACAGTAGGATCACAAGTTCAAGGCCAGCCTGGCAACTTAGTAAGAGCTTGTCTCAAAACAAAATTAAAAAAGGCTGCAGATGTAGCTCAATGGTAGAGTTTTTGCCTAGCATGTATGAGGCCCTGGGTTCAAACCCCAGTAGAAGAGGAGGAAGAAGATGAGGATGAGGAAGAGGAAAATGAGGATGAGAAGGATGAGGAAGATGAGGAGAAGGAGGAAGATGAGGATGAGGAGGAAGATGAGGAGGATGAGGAGGAGGATGAGGAGGAGGATGAGGAGGAGGAAGATGAGGACGAGGAGAGGAGGAGAAAGATGAGGAGGATGAGGATAAGGAGGAGGAAGAGGAGGAGGAGGAAGATGAGGAGGATGAGGATAAGGAGGAGGA